CCTGACTAATGGAGAGAGAAAAACAGACCCTTTACCACCTTGACCAAGGCTGAGTCCTTACATTTCTGGATGATGATGTTTGTTATTTAAGAGCCGGAGGTTGATAGATTTGGTTTGTTTGCAGGAGGTGCGATGGCCTCCTTACTCTCACCAAGGCAACTTTTCTCTCGGGGGCGCTTCCATCTTCTTACTCAGAGAGGCATCTGAGGGGGGACAGTGGAGCTAACTGTAGACCAGGCGAGGGCACAGGCTGCTAGGGGTGACCCGCCCTTCCCCCATGTATATACTGTATCTGTGTAACATTCTGTATGTATCGTACCTAGCGGAGGTTGCAACTGGCATATGAGGAAGAGGTTCTGATAGTTATTTGCAGCTGGGAAACTTATTTATTGCTAGCATAGGAGCGAGGAAGGAGGCGGGGATGGAGTCATGGCTCCCCGGTGATGGGACTCCTGTTTTCTTTGCTTTTTATTAGGGAATAAATGGATTTAGCTATACTGCTCAGCCTGGTATGTTCCCGTTTCCCTCAGTGGGTCCTGCAGTTTGTCCCATTGAAAGACGAGCCCCAGAGTGTCTGAGCATGCCCAGTTGGGCTGTTGGGAATCTTCCAGGCCTGTTGCCTGGATGCTGCCTGGTGACACCTGGTGGATTTCACGGGGACTGCCATGCTGCCTAATGGGCACAGTGCAGCCCTGACAGCCAACAGGTTCAGAAGACTGATCTAGCTGTGGCCGGGAAGACAACACCAGCACCCGAGGGCACTGACTTTCACCCACCCCGGGTGTCTTCCATTCTGTCCCCCTGCTTCCCTCTCCTGTCTGCACCGGGTGGCCTGTCTGTCCCTCCAGAGTGCAGGCTGCCCCGCAGGCTCCCTCCAGGTTGAGTTCACCGTCCTGGCCCCTAGTGGCCAGATCCGGCTTCACAGGATAAGAACCAGCTAAGCTCCAGGGACTTTCTAGGAAAAGTGTCCCTTGGAAAGGGTGTGACCTTTTCACCTCTCCCAACAGCACCCTAAAAATGGCTTGGACTTTTCCCTCCCCTGAGCTCCACAGACAACACAACCAGCAGAGGACACATTCTCTGTCATCCACAAATGGGTTGGAGTCTCAGCTGAGGGACAGCAGGACTGGAAGACTGTCAGTCCACACAGCTGCCTGCACAGCACCGCCATGCTTGCCCAGAAGGGTGGGAAGGATGGCGGGGGCTGGTTGTCCACAGGCCGGGCATGTCAGGGAGGCTCCCTGGAGGTGGTGTCCTTTTGAGGGGCAATGTCAGGAGACAGCTTCCTCTTGTTGGGCCACAAGTCTCCACAAGGACAGCACGAGGACTGATTCCCAGTGCTAGAGGCCAGGCAGTTGGCCATGTGTGTGTGTGTGTGTGTGTGTGTGTGTGTGTATGAGAATTTATTGCTATTTATAGAACAGGGCAGGGGCATACCACAGAGAGGGCACAAGTTTTCAGCATCGGTCAGAGCTGAATATTTCAGCTCACCACTACAACAGACTAAGTCACAGATGAAGGGAGCTGGCTTTGGGGCTGGGGGAGCCACTGTGAAGTCACAGGGCACCCACCCAGGCAGGCTTGGAAAGGGAGGTCTCTGAGAAGAGGAGGATCTGTTCATCACTTCAGAGGTCAAAGGGGGACCTGGGGCTCTCAGGACGGGATGGACTTGCCTGACCCAATCAGCTGGCATTGGAGAGAACGCAGAGAGAAAACAGGTTAGAGAAAAGCCAGAGCTGGTGAGGCAAGGGCAGAGCGTGGGTGCACCGTAGCAGCTGTGAGAGGGCTGGAAAGGGGAGGGTGTAAGTGTGGGCATGGCAAGGTTCCTGGAAAAGAGAGGCTGGAAGGGAAAGGGGAGGAAGATGGAGGGAGAAGCCAGAGCTTCATAGGTAGTGCCCGGGGGCTGTGGCGGCCCTCCCCACCCCACACACGCTGACCTCTCTCATGGCACCCAGGCAGTCCACCCACAGTTCAGACCAATGCCAGACCCCAGGACTTCCCTCTTCTCTGGTCACCCTGTCTTCCAACCCACTGGGCCAGGGCCACCTCTTGCTTGGGGAGCCCCACCCAACAGCCACCAGGCCTGATAGAGAAGGAACACTGCTTGAAACAAAATGGTGAAACTATAAGGGGATGGCTGGCTGAAGTGAGCGCCAGAGGCCCCTCTGGGTAGTCAGAAAGCCCAGTGTCCTCTGAGGGACCCTGGGGAAGGCAAGGAGGACAGGTAGCTGGATGCCACTGGACATAGACTTATAAGTCTAAGAGGGGAGCCTCAACTGGTAGGCAGGGGGCTGCAGGTTGCATAGGTGAGGCTGGGCCCATCCTGCTCAGAAAAGCAGAAGAGGAAGAGTCCGTGGCAGGACAGGCAGGTGGGCTCGCTAGGCGGCGCTCGGCTGGGCCAGCAGGCACTGTGGTCTCCTTGGCTGAATAGCACAGGCGACCCCTAGGAGCAACAGGCCAAGGTGAGTGAGCCTGCTGGTCGGTAGTAGTGCTTCAGCGGGGGCCAGGGACCCTGCCTTCAGTCCACGCCAGCAGCTATGATGGTACCTGGGAGGGAGGGAAGGGGACTGTGTGTCCCTGCCTGGTCTGTGAAGTGTGTTGTGGGATGACCGTGTGTATGGGACTCTCAGGCTTTTATCCTAGATCACCACTGGATTGCTGACAGATAGAGGATGTGGGATCCTAACTATCACCCTGAATCTGCAGTGGATTTGGCTCTCGGCACTCCCAGGCTGGGAGCTGGATACCTGCGCTGGCAGCATGATTCAGACTGCATGACAGGTACAGCGTGCCCAGGATGATGTGCCTAGGCCTCTGACCGCCTCAGTGTCCAGTCCTACACACAACCCCCTCCGAGCTCCCAGCCCCTACACCATAAACCACGAGCTCTGTGTCCTCTCTGATGGCTCCACGTCTGCCAGTTTGGGCATGGAGCCTTTCCTAAGAGCCCCCACGCTCAGCCATGGAGACCTGGAGCAGTGACACTGAGTCCCATGGCTCGCAGGGAGGGAAGTGAGACAGCCAGCAGCACAAGGACAGAAAGAGGAAAGAGCAAGTCTGCAGCTCCAGAAGGGAGGGGCAGGGAGCCTGGTTCTGAGTCCCCAGGTGTGCCCCCCGTGTGAAGCTGGGGCAGTTGGGCAGGCAGACCTTTCATGCAGCAGGCAGCAAAGCATGTACCTACCAAGGCTGACGCTCCTCAGGCAACACCGATAGTGATTCTGAAAGACAGCATCAAATCACATGTCAGGTCACATGCATGGGTGGGGCAGGCCTGAGGGTGGGGGACACACGCCCCAGGGTGAAGCAACAAATCTGGACTCTCATAGACAGCCTAGAGCTGCCAGCATTCCCTTACGATCTGTGCCCTTGGGCCTGGCTTAATTTTTTCCTCTCCAAAGAGCCATCTGTAGGGCCAGAGGTTGGCAAAGCCTGACTCATCACTGGATGCCAGTTTCTTTGCCTGACTTTCAGTGATTCCTACCTTACCCTGGGGTTTTGTGTTTCTTGTCTCAACACTGTTATTTCTCATTCCTCCACAAGTTGAACTGCTCACTCCAGCCACTTGAAGCATGCTCTTCTGGACACAGTTAGCTCTACGCTCATGGCTGGTGCTAAAAAGAAAAAAAGAGCGTTATGTCAATTTCATTGATTAACAAAAGTGCTGGCTCCACTACAAAGTGAAGTTGATACTGCCTGGGCCTCTGAGTTCAACAGCCTTTTAGACAAATGGCTCCGAGCTAAAACATGAGCATGCATGCATACGCATCTGTCTCAGTCTGATGAGATAATCTGGGTGTCGGTTGTTATCCCTGAGCATTTTCCTGCCTCATTAATGCATGTGTACCCAGCACAATAATAATCATAGCTATCAATGGCTGAAGCTGAGGGCTTTCCTGAGCCAGGCAGTGGCTTTAAAAACTTTAAAGTGGCCTTTAAAACTTTAACAGCTAAAGCTGAGGACTTTCCTGAGCCAGATAGGGGCTTTAAAACCTTTAAAGTTTTCACATAGACTCTCATTGAATAATTTCTGTTTTTCAGATCAAGAAACTGAGACTTACTGTCACATTTCGGATTAAGTTAAAAAGAAAAAAAGAAAAGAAAAGAAACTGTGGCTTAAAGCTGTCAAGTATTTCAAAGCCAGCAAGTGGCTAAATCAGAACTTGAACCCAGGCAGTCTAGCCCTGGGATCCTGTGCCCTCACCCAGTATCCAGTGTTGGCTACACAAAACTAATGAGTACATGTTTTCAACTATAGTTTAAGGGGGTGACAAATTTTTCACTATATTTTATGTAGGTGACTTTCAATTAGGGGGTATTCTACTTACACAATCTATTGAGCTGGGTATTAACTGAGAACAAACAGAAACTAATAAACTCTGAAAACCATAAAACATGAGCAACATGATGTCACTGCAAACATGATGTCACTGCAAAAGACAAAACAGCACATAGCCTTCTTGTGACTGTATTTTGCTGACAGTCCACGAGCTAATACTCAGCCTGAACTCAGCAGTGCTGTTCCCTCGGGAGACACATACAAACACACGGACACACACACACACACACACACACACACGAGTTGGTGGTTTTGTGCCTCCCCGCCAAAACACACACACATTGGCGGTTGTGCCGCCAGGAGCCTCCAGTCTGCCAGTGTGAGGAACGGACCAGATGGGTCCAGTAGTGTTGGGTCAAGGCCAGGAGAGGACAGCCGGAACCGCGTGCATGCTCTGGACTCCTGCACCCGCCTAAATGGGTGCTCACGGGGCGCGAGAGAGTGAGGGGTGAGGGGTCAGGGGTGAGGGATCAGGGGTGAGAGGGAGGGGGACGGGGTGGAGGCAGCCCCTTCCCAGGCGGCAGCGGGGGCGGTGATGCTGTTGCCCTTTTAAGCTGCCGCTTCACAGGAGCGGCGCCTCCTGTTGGTGGAGTCCGTTACAAGGGGAGCCCCCGCCCAGGGGACGCCCCACAGCTCCCCCCAGAGGCCTCGGTGTCCCTTGCGGTTTTCCTGCCGTGCTCCGACTAGACTCAAGGCAGCGGGAAGAGACGGAGCCCCGAGAGCGCCGCCGAGCGGCCCCACCGGGTGGTCGCGGCCATAACAGCGGCTCCTGACCGGCTCACCTTCCGCGCCCTGCCGCCGGAGATGAGGATAAGATGTCCGTGTCTGTGTGTCCGTGTCCGTGTCAGCGCCCAGCGGCGGTCCCAAGGGGCAGGGCGAGGGTGGAGAGGAGGCTCCGGAAGTACCCGGGCAAAGGGGAGCCTGCCCGGGAGAGGCCCCGGTTCCCCGGGAGGGGCGAAGGCGCCCCTTTCTCCTGTGACTGGCCCGCCCCGATCGCCGGGACAGCCGGGGGCTTCGGTGGGAGGAGGCGGAGGGCGCGTCTCTCTATCTCCTTGCGGGGGGCTGGCTTGAGGGCTGCTGGCACCTCTCGCCCTCGTCCCCGAGCCCCGAGCTGGGAGCCCGCGTCGCCCGCAGCCCTTTGGCGGCCCATGATCGCGCTCAGTCAGCCAGCCTGCTCCCCAGAACCGCGACGGGGTATGGCAGGGCGGCTCCAGCTGTTGTTTGAGCCCAGGCGGGGAAGGGGAAAGGCCTTTAAGATTTTCGGTTTTTTGACAGGGCGCAGTGGCTCTTTCCTGTAATCCTAGCAGTTTGGGAGGCTGAGGGGGGTGGATCACCTAAGGTCAGGAGTTCTAGACCAGCCTGGCCAACATGGTAAAATCCTGTCTCTACTAAAAATACAAAATTTAGCAGGGCATGGTGGCAGTCGCTTGTTGAGATGGAGTCTCACTCTGTCGCCCAGGCTGGAGTGCGGTGGGCGATCTCGGCTTACTGCAGCCTCCTTCTCTTGACAATCCATGGGTTCAAGCGATTCTCCTGCCTCAGCCTCCCGAGTAGCTGGGATTACAGGCGCCCGCCACCATGCCTGGCTACCTTTTGTGTTGTTTAGTAGAGACGGCTACCTTTTGTGTTGTTTAGTAATGTGTCCCATAACCAGCCTTCACCATGTTGGCCAGGCTGGTCTCGAACTCTTGACCTCAAATGACCCACCTCTGCCTCCCAAAGTTGTGTGATTACAGACCTGAGCCACCTCACGCGGACCCAAGCCCTTAAGTGTAAAGGCTTCATTCTTCAGTCAGGTTTTCCTTGTTCCTGCATGTTCAGCCAATCGTTTTTAAGTTTGTGTTTAAGGAGAAACTAACAATGAAAAAGGACTCCTTGAGGGAGGAAAAGTTGGAATGCAGCCTCTGGTGCTGTTTGAGTGATCCCTCTCCCCAGGGCCAGGCTGGCCGCTGCTGTGTTCTGGAAAGGCGCATTGTACCCTGGATGCTGCAGGTAGGTGTCCTGTACAGGCGCTCTGCCCGCTTTTCCTTTCAGGCTTCTGTATTAGCTATTTTTCCCCTGTAGAATGTGCACCTGACAGCCACCCCCAACCCTACCCAATTTGGCTTTGCATGTCTGACAAGCAAGGCTCTTCTGGGTCATATTTAGTTCATGCTGATATTTCCCCTTCCTCTCCTCTTTCATCCTTACTGTTTTTGCTTTGGTCATGTTATGCTGTGTTCTGTAAGGCTTTAAAAAAAAATGTTTATGGTGGCAGAGGAGAATGTTTTATAATTATGCTTTGTGCTTTTTATCTCCCACTCAATAAATGCTTGGGAAGCATTTGTTTTGTTGAATGTCTGACCCTATCCTAGCTATGTTGTGCTGGAACAAAAATCTTAACTGCCTTGTAAGTTAACTGCTAAGAATTTGTCAAAAGTGCAGAGATAACGTCAAGAACTTGTCATGGATAGTAAAAAAAGTCTCTAAGAGCCTGATGGAAGTCTGTAAATTGACTTCATATGAAAGAGAGTGCAAGAAGTGAAAATGTAAAGCATGACTGGAGAGTCGGAGTCATGAAGCCAGGGTCCCTTTCTCCAGATCCTTTGTAACAGTGTTATGTCATCTCTTCTAGAAGATCGTTCTGAAAGATAATGCCAACTCGGAACCTTGGAAACCCCCAGTGGGTTTCTGCAGCTTAGGTGGTTCAAATCCTCATCAGCACCTTTCCTTTCTCTGCCTCAGTTTGCTTCCAATGATGTTCTCAGTAGCTGTAATTGCTGTCTGTCTTTGAATCCTTAAGCATTTTTTTAGATGACAGGGATATATGTGCATTTTTATTTTACCAAGTGTTAGAATTTCTACTCTGCTTTTGTGGGCTCTGGGTTAGCTATGTGGTTGTTGTAAAATGATTAGCAGGGAAAACCGTGTGTGTGTGTGTGTGTGTGTGTGTGTGTGTGTGTGTTTTAAGTTTCTTTTGTTGTCAGAGGACTTAAAATTTTATTTTACATGATATTTCTGTCAATTTACTTTATTCTCCACCCCACATTTATTGAACGGCAAAGTATGAAAGTAATGTGTCCCATAACCAGCCTTCAGAAGAATCACAATTGCTGTGTATCTGAAATTTTTTTCTGTGTGGGGACAGAGTGTCACTCTATCACCCAGGCTGGAGTGCAGGGGTGCGATCTTGACTCACTGGAACCTCTGCCAGCCAGGCTCAAGTGATTTTCCTGCCTCAGCCTCCTGAGTAGCTGCTCAGGAGGCACCTGCTACCACACCTGGCTAATTTTTGTAGTATTAGTAGAGACAGGGTTCACCATGTTGGCCAGGCTGGTCTTGAACTCCTGACTTCGTGATCTGCCTGCCTCAGCCTCCCAAAGTGCTGGGATTACAGACGTGAGCTACTGCACCCAGCTGAACTTTCAAGAAGAAGTTTCTGCACCAGTTTTCAAAAAATTATGATATCAAAAGATAGCCATACCCTGCATTTAGAAAGATACAGAAACTGAACATACTGGCATGCAGTTTTGCTTGTTGGTGCTTGAGGTAGAGCCACACGTTGGTCTCAGTGGATTTATGGAGAAAAGTAGATACAGAAAGTTATTTCTAAATAAGACCAAAAAATCCTTTCTTAAGCAGTGACAGGTAAAGAGGTTGCCTTGCTAGCCTTGAATTCTATTGCCCTTGATTGAGACAGTTGTATGGTGGGGATGGTAGTGGTGATAAACCTGTTTGAAATTTGTCTGCTTATAGTAAGCTTTGTGGTAACTGTCACAGACAACTTCATCCTCACAGGTCTTAAAATTACTATAAAACTAATAGAATGGAGGAGAAACAAAGGACCTGAATACTCAGATGCTTAAATAATTGTTCTGTGTTTTCATAACCGGTGAAAAAGAACAGTGTTAGAATCACTTAAACACTCCATGTAGGGAACACTGCCTGAATTTGTATTGCGATTTTTGATCATCATTTACTGTTTAAAAACTGGCATATTGTAGAGTAGGTCATATTTTAAAGATAAGTAGAACACTTATCTTTTCAAGATGGATATAAAGCTTAACCTTATCAAAATTACAAAATGTAAAGCATATTATTGAAAAATATTAATGCATAGGTTCAAATATAGGTCATCATTTTAGATGTCTTTCAAAAAAGATCATCTCTTAAATATTAAACTGAACAAACATTGAACATATTGTAGAGTTTGTGCTAAAGGTGAAGTTTCCTGGGGTGACGGATGTTTTATAATATGGATAACAAAAACTTAAGAAGTTTAGAAAATTTTTAGGCAAAACTAGAAAATCATACCGATAATTCTACCACTCAGAAGGTAGCACCATGAGAATTTTGTATCTTTCCAGTCCTCTGCTCATCTCTTTTCTCCTGTGCTCGTATGTGTTCCCTCTCCCTTAAAACAATCAGATTTTGTTTTTGTAATCTGCTTTCTCACTCAACAATATTGTAGATCCATGTCATAAGTTACTCCTCTACACAGTGCCTTCAGTTATTCTGTGGTTGTGTTGGATGACTATACCATCTAGTCATTCGTGTTTCCTGGTACTAAATACATAGGGGTGAGTGAGTGAGTGAGTGACTGTGTGTGTGTGTGGGTGTGGGTGTGGGTGTGTTTTCTACCGTAACTAATGCTTTGGACATCAATAGGTAGAGCTAAATCCTTGAAACGTTCCAAGAGGTGGCTTTCATTTCTCATTGCTGATTTGTTTTCTAGAGATGGAACAAATTATATTGTATGGAAAAAAAGTTTTTTGAGATGAAGTCTTGCTCTTGTCACCCAGGCTGGAGTGCAAAGGCATGATCTTGGCTCACTACAACCTGCACTTCCCAGGTTCAAGTGATTCTCCTGCTTCAGCCTCCTGAGTAACTGGGATTACAGCTGCCTGCCACCATGCCCAGATAATTGTTATAATTTTAGTACAGATGGGGTTTCACCATGTTGGCCAGGCTGGTCTGGAACTCCTGACCTCAGGTAATCCACTCACCTTGGCCTCCCAAAGTGCTGGGATTCAGGAATGAACCACCCCACCCGGCCTTTTTTTCTTCTAGGTACCAGCTATTATGTATCAGATTGGTAAAAATGTTAGAAAGTGTGCAATGAAATGGGCATACGCACAGTCATGGCAGAAAGTATAGTTATCTTTGACTTTCTAGAGAGCAGTCTGGCATTCTAGAAACTTGTCTAACCTCTTCCCATTTAGGCAAGATGAATTCTGACTACCCCTCAGTGACCAATCTTGTCCCTGTGATTTCATATCGCCCAGAAAGAGAGGACTAGTCTTAGAGAAAACCCAGATTTGCTTGGCTTAGCCCACCTGACAACTAATCACTGGAAATGGTGTGGGCTGGTCTAGTCCTTTGGTCAGGTTTTGTGTCAAGAGAGGGATGTGGAAAGATGGGAGAGAGGTAGCAAAACTGGCCTCAATGGAACTAAGTAAGTTAACATAGAATGACAAAGGAATGTTTCTTCCAAGGAAGAAATTGTAGGGAAGGAAGAAAGTGGAGGGGAAGGTAGCAGTTCTCAAAGTTTTGGGGTCATGATTCCTTCACACTCGTAAAAATGTATTGATGGCCCAAGGAGCTTTTGTGTATGTAGGTTATATCTA